GTTCGCGGTAGTGTCCTTCGCGGTATTGTCTCGCGGTAATGTCGTTCGCGGTAACGTCGTTCGCGGTAATGTCGTTCGCGGTATTGTCTCGCGGTAATGTCGTTCGCGGTAATGTCGCTGTATCGAATCCTTGATACATGTACTTGTTCTTCATGACCATCATTAACATGTTTCACCTTGTAATTTAAACGACCTGATTGTTGAATAACTTTGAAAGGACCGTAATATTTGGGTGAAAATTTCTTTAAATTTTTGTTCATCATTTGTTTTAGTAACACCCGTTGTCCAATTTTTAAGTTTGTTTGATCTCGACGTCCAGTGTCCTAGGTTTGTTTATAGTTATTTTGGTGTTGTGTGGTGTTGAGCCACGCTGTTGACTTGGCTTGTTGTAAAAATTTAAGTAATTGTGAGTAGTAATCATTTGCTTGTGGTAATTGAACAATGGATGATGGAGCATCAAATGGGAGAATTGGATCTCGCCCATACATTAATTTGAATGGTTCAATACCGGTTGTTGCTTGTTTGGATGTATTATAAGCAAATGTGACAAATGGTAGATAATCATCCCAATCTGATTGTTGTTGGTTAACATATGTACCTATTGAACCCGCTAATGTGGCATTAAATCGTTCTGTTAGGCCATTCGTTTGTGGATGGTATGTTGTTGTTTTAATATGATTAACACCACAACGAGAAGCTATAGTTTTAAATACATTAGCGATAAAATGACTTCCTTTATCTGTTAATAATTGTTTTGGAACACCAAAGAAAGAGCACTCCGTCTCACGAGGGAAGGTCTCCAGGTGTTTCCTTAGGATTTCAACGAAAACTATATGGGTTTGTCAAGTGAAGTGCTCTGATCTCAAATCTAGAAAAAATAGCGTGAGACAGAGTGCTCTTTCTTTGCATATAGTTAAATCCAAAATCGAAGATAGTTCTGATTTAAACATTTTTATTCACGAAATAATAGTAAAAAAGAAAAAATACAACAACAAGAAAAGAAACACATATACGGCAAATCGGGATGCCCCATTGTATGCCGGATTCTACATGAACACTATAGAATAAAATGAGTATGTAGAGAAGAGAGTTTGAGTATTGGTGAAGAGAGAGAGAATGGCAATCGACTTCTAAGATCCGCCCTATCCATGTGACTTCCTGCTCATGGAGGCTTAGTACATCATGACTGATTGAATCTTCCGGTGGTATCAATAAATTGGAGGATAGCTGTGTACACTCGTATTAGGTCCTGCTTAGGCAGTGCTCGGATAGATTCATGTTTCAAAAGTATATGCTCCAACATAATGTGATTATCTTTAAGGACAATACGCAGCTCCTCAAACATTAGATTGCGATACTTGTCATAAAGAGCACAATCCATGAAAAAATGTTTAGTAGTTTCTCTGCTAAATCCACATGTAAACGCCGGTGACTTTTCTAATCCACCTCTAGTGAAGAGATAGTCATTTAGTTGGGGATTATCAACTCTACATCGCGTGTGATGTATTTCCAACCGCCTATCATGCATTAACGGTAAACGAAAGGGCGGAATATATTGTAAGACTAATCTGAGTTTGAAATCAGTCACTTTATGTATTGAACGTATATCATTAGGTAGAAGATTCCATGCACGAATACCCTCCCGAATGAAGGATTTTTCCAATAATGCCCGACCTCTTAAATTTGACGAGATGTCTCCTCGACTCAAACTTCGGGTTTGGTAAACCTGGGGACCCGGCATAGGAAGAAGTTCAATAAGATAAGTAGCAGTTTTATTGTGCATGATTTTATGAAACAAACACATACGTCGAACATAAATAAGCTCATTAATCGATAACCACCCCAAGTCTTTAAGTAGCTTCACATGTGATGTGCCCCTCATAGCACCAGAGACAGCTAAAGCGGCCTGGTATTGAATTTGACTCGGGCAATTGATATTACGTAACTCAGTACCACCATAAATAACGATTCCATAGTTGAGAATACTCAGCACAAAGGCGTAATACACAGAGTCAAGAGTTTGTCGAGAAACATGCCTACTCAGAAACTTCATCGATCCTACAATATGTGACAAACTGATATAAAGGTTATTTATGTGCGATCTCCATTCCAAGGTTGTGGTTAAAGTTAAACCCAAATGGACATGTTTCTCAACATACTCTAACACGATGTTACCAATGAACAGAGAAGGTAGACGGCCGTGGGTGCTTTGACAAGAGAATAGCATACAAACACACTTATTGACGTTTAAGGGCAGCGCCCATTTCTTGGACCACTGGCTGATTTTCTCCAAATCTTGATTCAAAACTGACGCAGCTGTAGTCAGATCATCTGCCTTAATGTACAGCGAGATATCATCTGCAAATAGTTTAGAAATGGATTGAAGTAACCGTGGTAGGTCATCAATGTAAATTAAAAACAGTAACGGACCAAGGCAACTGCCTTGAGGTACCCCACAAGTAACAAGAAGTGGATCCGATGTCGCTCCATCCACGACCGTAACTATCTGCCTGTTAGATAAATAACTACGAAACCAGTCAAGAAGGGAATCGGAGAGGCCCTTACTGCGAAGCTTGATAAGTAGACCTTCATGCTCCTTTTTTGTTTCTTTTTTCTCTTTTTCGTTCGTGGTGTTGACCTAGTCAAAGTTTTTCATTTAACTTTTTGTCAGTACCATTGTTAATTTAACATCTATGACATGAAATAAATTTGATTTGATTTGATTGATTTGATGTTCTACCTTATTGAAAGCCTTAGCAAAGTCTAGGAAGATTGCCAAAACCGGTGTCCGATCATTAAGGCTATTAGCAATGTAGTCAACTATGGCTATAAGTTGAAGAATGGCGAGATAGTGCTAGATATCGATGTGAGCAAAAATTAGATTGGACGGCATCTATGCACATTTAAGAGAGGATTCGTGAGAATACCGACAAAGCCAGCCGGAGAACTATCTTCGATTTTGGATTTAACTATATGCAAAGAAAGAGCACTCTGTCTCACGCTATTTTTTCTAGATTTGAGATCAGAGCACTTCACTTGACAAACCCATATAGTTTTCGTTGAAATCCCAAGGAAACACCTGGAGACCTTCCCTCGTGAGACGGAGTGCTCTTTCTTTGGTGTTCCAAAACAATTATTAACAGATAAAGGAATAATTCCCTTCCGCAATCAACAATTGTTATGTCGGACTTCCTGATAAATGTGACGGAAGTATACGAGATTTTGTTACACTTGAATGTAAATAAAGCCACCGCCCCCGGTATTTCAAATCGAATGTTG